CTGAGACTCAGTTTCTTCATCCGTAAAATGGGGATAATAATCATAATACCAACTTCAGGAGATTGTTATGAGAATTTAATTTTTAAAAATGTGTATGAAAAGTTCTTAGTAAAAAGCCAGGCATGTGCTATGTTTCCAATTAATGGTACAGTGCTTACCAGGAATATATGTACCTCTTTAAATATTATATGAATGCTTCAATAGTCAGTCATTCTCCCAACCCCTCTCCACCCTCTGTTTGTAAAAAAACAGATTTTCAAACTCACATCACCTTCCACTGTATTTATTTGTCCATTTTAAAGACAAGTTCCTTTTTTGTAGGATGGGGGTCCTCCGTTTCTTCCCATTGGATCTTTCCCAAGTGAGAAAAAATTAAATTCTCAATTCTCCTCAGGGAGAAAGTTTAGGTCAATGGTTACCAACCCAATAGACCCAGTTTCCAAGATCTTTGTTGGAAGTGGGGAGACCTTGGACCTATTACTCAATCTCTCTAAAGCTGTACTCTTTAAGATGGGGGGACACCGCAGCTATGTATGGTAAAACATTTTGAATAGTGCCTGGCATACAGTAAGCACTCTGTAAATGTTGGCCGTTATTACTGTTTTATTCAAGACTGATCTCTTAGGACACGGAGTATATACCTTGATTTTAGGACCATTTTGATTCAAGATCTGTATCGCTGTGTCTGGAAACAGAGTAGTGACCATCATGGTTCAGTTTACAACATGGCTCCAATCACTCTGTTGAATAAGCCCTAACTTGAAGAAGGCTGGGCAATGGAAATTTTGATTTCTGACCTGTCATCCTCACTTTGAGCACCCTTGGCTTGGAAGCTTGTTAGAGTCTCGGGAAGAAAAAGAATTTATTAAATCAAATATTGTGCACAGATGAAACAACATATCACTTGCTAATTACGGGAGTGACTAGCACTGATGCAGGCATCTCTTTTATTCCCCGAGGCTTATGGACCAATTAACAATTAGCAGTGACTGATGTCCTAAAAGGAAGCTTTCTGTCTGCACTGCTGGGTTTTCTCAGGAGGAGTTAGAAATAAGATACTTGACAGAGTTTAGTCAGGAAAAAAATAAAATTAAGGCTACAAGAAACCACCTGTACTACTTGTGGATAAAATATATTTGCAAAAACCCTAGACAACACCAACACATACACTGACTTTATTTATTAAAAAAAAAAAAACAATTTTCCCTAATTTTAGAAAGTTATGAAACACAGTAAAAACTACTTTTTTCCACACTGAAAGTCCTTAAACACTTATTTCACTAGTTAATATTTATAAGTTAAAAATAATCACTCTTTCAGAGGGAAGCTCTCTTACAAAAAAGACTCCTAGCTGAGGAATTAAACCCCATTGAATGTTTCTCCAGAACAGAGAAATTTTCCCTTTCTTCACTGGGCTCCTGTCATGATATGCAGAGGTCGGCCTTCTAAATTCATTGTCTCTTTGAGAATAAACCATGCTTAGGATTGGACACCATGGTGACCATTCCCCCCAAACAAGAAAATACAATGATTTTGAAGTAATGACAAAAAAATTAAATAAGCTTTGCTGGAAAAACATGAATCCATATCCAGACCTGATCTCTGGTTTTGCTATGGATTAATGGATAGCCCCAAGTATCCTCTATTATGTCATTCAAACCGCCTCTCAGAAAAGTCTCAGATGTTTGTTATTTATACCTCTTCATGTAATTAAATTAATGTATGTCCTCTGTCATGAGTACATACATTTTTGCTCTTACTGTAAAACAAGCACTAAGCTGAGACTTTTATAAATATTACCTTATTTAATCCTTATCGGTGAGGTAGATAAAATAACTACCTTATTTTATCAATCAGTAAATTTCAGCTTGGGGAAGATAACTAGGTTGCCCAAAGCCCCACACCTAAAAGTGGCCTGACCTCAGAGCCTAAGCTCTGAACTAGCTATATGGATTTAAAAATCTAAATGATCTGAGTGGCAGACATCTGAATAGGCGAGGAAGTGTTCTAGGAGCTTCCCTGCAGGCTGAAATCAACGATGTAGGCTAAAGACCTGAGCAGTAGTCATCTCTTCTACCTAGGCATGGTAATTCTATCACTGAATTCAAGTGGCAATTCTAGCTCGACTTCCCATGACCCTTTAACTTTTTCTCAGAAGAGAAGCACAGAAGTAGCTGGCCTTCACGAGAGAGAAAAGCATGAGGGAAGCACAACAGAGTGTCCAGAATGCCATGCCCCACCTTGTCATAGCAGACTCTTTTCTACAGCCAATGTTTCTCTTTTAGCAGGATGATGAAAGACAGGAGAGGTCCCATAGCATCACGTCAGGTTTGGGCAGGGTGAGTACAAATATTTACCACATCCCAAACACCAGCAAACATGTGGGAAATCTTTAAGGTAGAAAGCTGCTGTATAAGATAAATAAAAGGAAATGCTACTTTACCCAATTTCAAATTTTACTAAAACCTAGGTCCACTGAGGTTAAAAATAGGAACAGGTTTGAGAAAGTAAAAAAAAAACAAAACAAAACAAACAAACAACTTATGGAGGGAAAATAGGATTCTGTGGGTTGTTGTTTGCTTTTTCGAGGTTGAAGATAAAAGGGCAAATTCTGCTTCTGGTGGAGAAGGTGTGATGCTCAGTGGACCAGTAGCCGGGCCCAGGAGAACACCCTCATGGGATTCCAACCCCTCCCCGAGCTGTGTAGGGAACAAGAAACAGAACTGTCTCAACACTCAAGAGGGAACTTTCTCTGCTACACTGCTTGGTTCCTGTTGGAAAAACTCATGATATGAAACCCAAACCCAAGAGCACTCTTGGGGTACCGATCACACCCTCAACCAATCCCCAGAGTGGGCTGTCGCCAGTGGAATGAAGATCAGATCAAACTGCATTTGGAAACAATCCTGGATGACTGAGTAAAGAGGCCATTTCCACCATGAGTTCGCCAAGTCTACCAGAGCTACTAGGACCACAAGGGCCCTCAACTTTCCAGGAAAGAACTCCAGGGCCACTTTCCTGTCCCAGGCAGCCAGGGTCAGACAGTGTCTAGATGAATAAATGGCCTCCAGGCCAATGACTCCCTTATGGTTTCTACCAATAAAAGGGGAGCGTTCCCATCTATTCACTAAATCCCACCATCCCTCTCTCAAAGGGAAAACAGACAGAAGAATTAAATAAATTCCACTAGTTCTTAGACTTTGCTGGCAACTCTGGGAAGGGGTCTTCACAGTTTGGATTTCTGTTATGTGGAGAATCCAGCAAGGAACTCAGCGTTCTCTACCTCTCAAGAATCGGCTTTGCATATGGCGTTGGAAAGGGGATTTCTGATGCCTCCACTCTCTGCATCCTCATCTACAGTTCGAAGATAATGACTCACTGACTCCCTGGCATAAAGTTTCTTCTGTTGCTTTGACTGCTTGTTTGTTTAAACAATAATAAAGAAGGAAAAAAAACCCCAAACTCAGAGATGCCTGGGTTTTATATATACTTCCATCTCTTTGGGCTGACTACTATTATTTGGTAGTATATAATTTAAAATATTTAGACAACCTAGAAGCAACCTTATATTTCAGATTCAGAAGCAAAAAAAAAAAAGGCCACTGTTGCCCCAACATTTATAGATAATCTACCACGTACAAGGGCACTGTAATAACTGAGACAAAAAAATGGATAAAAGTTAAAAAAATAGAAAAAGAGTAAAGCCAAGAGATTAAATAAAAACAACACACAATTGATGAGTGGATAAAATTTAAAATGAACAGACTATCCTCTCTGTCCTTCAGATCATGGCAGATGCACACACAACATGTGTAAGTGTAATTCCCAGATAAGTTCTGTAACACACCCAGTGCATTGTGGCGGCACCCAGTATCACTTCATTGCTTCTGAGTAAGGGATCGAGGCAGGTCTAGGGAGCTGGGTGCATCAGAGAGCATCCTTTAAAGATGTACAGGATTAAATCAGTTGGGGATGGTTAGAGATGTCAAAAATAGCAATGATAAAGGATAATATGGTTGTTTATTATAGATCAGCCATTTGGCACAATAAATAGCACTTAATAAATATGTGTTCATCTACAGGTGGCCGGAAGAGTGAGAAAAGGAAGAGAGGGCAAGGAGGGAGGAAAGATAAAGTCATCTAGCAAAGTTGGTGAGCTAGAGTGTGAGGTTCAAGGTCAAGTCTGGGGGTGATGAGGATGGAAAATTAAATTGGGAAATAGTTTCCAACCCTAGGGCACAGTATCACAGCCTACAACTGCACATCTAATAAATACCTGTTGTTCGTGTCATTGCTATTAAAGTCTGTTTATGTCTATTTTGTTTTTAAAATAAATATTCCAATTATAAAATAGACTACGAGCCCATTGTTCACAGATTAATTCTCTAGTACATATCACATCCATTTATTATTGCTACTGATTAAATATAGCCATGTTATGGCAAATTTTACCTTTCTCCAAAAGTATAATTATCACATAGTACATATCAAAATGAAAATTGGATGCATTCTCTTGGGAGAGAGGACAGCCAGCTTGTGAAAGCAACAACTCACCACGTGACCTTGGGCAAGGCATCCTTATTTGTAAACACAGAGGATTGGGCCAGATGATTTCCCAGGCCCTTCCCAGTTCTAACTTGATTATAAGCTGCACAAGCATATAGTCAAGGTGAATCACTGACCAATCATGCTTGTATCTCAATAAATTTCATGGATCACACACTCTTAGGAATTTTAGTAATAATTCCTGCGATGATTAACATTTATCACTCACAGGGAATTCATCTACAGAGTAGACCAACCAAGAATGTAGCAGAGCCTGCAAATTTGTTCCAAGTTGCTCTCCAAAAAAATATCTCCCTTCCTCTAATAGATGCATGTCTAATAGCTTCTGAAAAATAGACTCAGTAGCTCTCTTTGTAACTCTGAAAATCTTTCTTCCACAACAATAAGAAAATGGACTCTTGAAATACATGGAGACAATCGTGTGGATGATGAAACTATTTTCTTTGGAGCAAAGGACTGTGAGACCTGTGGTGTTGCTTGCTGGGTCTGTGCTCCGCTGACCATCGGGACTCACTTGCTGAGGCCTCCTCCTCACTCTCCTCTCCAGATTCAAACTCCTCATCCACTGCATGGAACAGTGGTTTGGGCCGTAGTGCCTCCCTTCTGCCTGCACCAACGTGCTCTTCTTGGTTTGTGTTTCTTGGATACCCGAAGTGGCATGGCTTCCCTCCTCTGGGTAAGCTCTTCATTGGGATTATCTCTTGTGTCAGCTGTCTTTGTTGGAGTGTCCCTGTTCGAGGATGTGCTTTGAACATGATGGACAGGAGTTCTGAATCGCTGCTGTCATTACCTAGGGAAATATGACAAGAGGAGGAAAGAACACGACTTAGGATCAGAGAGAAGACTCCATATCTGGATGGCAAGAACTCAGAGTGAAAGATAGTCCTTCTTGAGGTTCCAGATCTTACATTTGCCAGTCTGACTTTCCCTGCCCCAAGGAGGGCAGAGAATAGAAGTATATGTGCTGTGTTAGAAATGCACCGAAACCTGTGTATCAGCCTAGACTCCTTCAGGTAAGTAAAGGAGTGTTTTTTACAAAATCAGAAGAGCTGGCCACAGGCATTAGGCCATAAAGCACAAAGATGCTTTGTGTTATCGAAGACCAATGCTTAACTGAGGGTTCCATGGTAATTGTGATAGGAACATGGGAAGTTTGGATTTCGGTTGTTGTTCTTTGTTTTTGTTTGTTTGTTTGTTGTTAGATTTTATTTATTTATTTGAGAGAGAGAGAGCACGAGTGGTGGTGGGGGGGAGGGCAGATGGAGAGGGACAAGCAGACTCCCTGCTGAGCAGGAAGCCCGATCCAGGACCCTGGGATCATGACCTGAGCAGAAGGCAGACGCTTAACTGATTGGGCCACCCAGGCGCCCCAGTTGGTTTGCTTTTTAATCAGTGGTTACCAGAAAGCATTAAATCTGAGTTTCATCCCTTGGGCCTTGAAAGAGCCAATCTTGGAGAAACAGGGGTGAGAGAGAGCTATAACAGGGAGCCATGTGTGGCAAAACCACTGTGACTAGATGTCCTCCCTCCAAAGCAGGTAAGAGGTGGACAGATTTCTGCTGCCATATAACAGTCATGATAGTGGTGGGGTGTCCACCTATGGAGAACTCACTATGCACCTGTCACTGTGCTATTTTACACCATTTAAGCCTTACGACAAGCCTTGGAGATGACTAAAGTTAACATCTCCATTTCATAGGTAAAGAGGCTGAGGTTTCAAGAGGTTAAGTGACTTTCAGTATTACAGTGAAGATGGGACTGCAGTTTAGCAGAGTCTGTCCAGCTGCATATCTGGTCTCTGCCAGACTATGCCTGGCTCCCTGATATATGCCATGTGCAGATCGGGAGGTTACGCCAAGAGCGGAGGGAAGCCACTGGGTAGCTACGTAACATCCTCTCTCAGATGACCTTCCAAAGACCTCATCCATGCCTAGGACATTGCCTTTTCCCAACTTCACTGTGCATACATCTTCAAAGGAGTAGTTTTCACAAATCTCACCTATTCTCATTTCCTCAAGTTTTAACCTTATGAATTTATTTTCCCTAAGACAAGTATCATATGATCTCGCTGATGTGAGGAATTTGAGAAACAAGACAGAGGATCATAGGGGAAGGGAGGGAAAAATGAAACAAGATGAAACCAGAGAGGGAGACAAACCATAAGAGACTGTTAATCTCAGGAAACAAACTGAGGGTTGCTGGAGTGGAGGGGGGTGGGAGGGATGGGGTGGCTGGGTGATGGACATTGGGGAGGGTATGTGCTATGGTGAGCGCTGTGAATTGTGTAAGACTGATGAATCACAGACCTGTACCCCTGAAACAAATAATACATTTTATGTTAATAAAAATAAAATAAATTTATTTTCCCTTTAAATATTCTCCTAAGAATTTAAGTATTTTAAGAACTTTACATTTAAATCTGAAAGCAGGATTCTTTTCCCACTCTTTATTCCCTCTTAAAAAGCCAAAACACAAAAGAAAATAAAAACCCCACAGCTGGAACTGATATGCACACCTGTATACAGAAGGCAAAATGTGTTTAGTCATCAGAAAAATTTTAAATAACCTGTTCAATAATGTTTTTCTAAATGTAATTGAATTGTCCTCAGAAGGTAGCCTGGAAGTTGTGGGGAGTGAGGGACAGGAATCAACTGCTTTGAATTAAAAAAAAAAAAAATTAGTTCAGATTATTTGTCCATTTTTTCTTTACTTCCCTTTAATTTGTGCTCCATGATCTGGCCTGGAACAAGAGTTCCTCTTGATCCTTTGGTGCTTGGAATATTACCTAAGGAAACAATGGCCTGGATGCTTCTGCCCCCAAGAGCAGTCCTTTGGCCCATACCCTCCTGCCCCCTCCTAGTTTCCAACCCCTCCTTCTGAGCATAGCATATGCTACCCATCAGCACACAGATTATAGCTGATGTTTCCTGACCAGCTCTGCTTATTGAAAAGTAGTTTCCAAACACTAGGAAGAGGCTTGAGCAGGCAACTTGCAAGATTCCATGCAACTTAAATCAGTAGATGTGTCCAAAAGGGGAGGAAGAAGCCAGTGGAAAGCGGAAGAGGAAGGAGGAAGGGTGGGGGCTGGGCTCTGTCCCAACTGCACAATGTCCTGCAGGTCAGCACCCAGGCAGGCAGTTCCAGGGAGAGATCAATGGAGACCTTGCAGCAAAATCTGAACATCTATTCTTCTATCTTCCACTTTAACTTCTGGACTTAGGCACCCAGGGGCAGGGTGAAGGAGAAACAGGAAGTGCTTCTGCACAGGGCAAGGCAGAGCCTGATACCCAGGGGGTGACACTGGACTACCTAGTACAATATACACTGTTCAGAGACCTAGACCTTGGGTGCAACTGTCCCTCCTCCCTTTCCTCATGGTTTTGTTTTAATTCTGATAAAATTTACCATTTTAACCTTTTTTTTTCATTGTCACCATTTTATTGTATAGTTCTGTGGCATTAAGTATATTCACATCTTTGTGTGTCCATCTGAGACCTCTTTCATCTTCCCCAATCCACATGGATTTTCAGCCGCCTAAGAGCAGAGGAGGTCGGTGTCTAGGAAGGAGCTCTCTACTTATAACACCAAGTGAGCCTTGGCTCCATGCAAAAGAGCCTTGGAAGAGAATGTGGAGCCCCCCACACATCTAGAGTAAGGGATGCGCCAACACTGGAGAGCAAGGGGACAGTGAGAAAGGAAAATGTTCTCCAAGTCACAGCCTGGTTAGCCAGAGACTGCCTGCTGGATGCCGTCTCTCCCCTCATATTCTCCCCTAGAGGCCCTCTGGCCACTCCTTGACTTGTCCTGGTGCAGAAAGACTTCAAGTTTGGAGAGAATGTGGATTCAAATAATTGTGTCCAGAGACTCAGTGAGAATGATCTCAGTCTAACCCTGATTATTATAATGCTTTAAAACTTATTAAGGATAACCAATAACTTAAGTCCCACTTCGAAAGGATATATGCACCCCTCTGTTCACTGCAACATTATTTACAATAGCCGAACTATGGAAGCAGCCTGTGTCCATCGATTGATGAATGGATAAAGAAGGTGTGGTGTATATATATACAAAGGTATATTATTTGGCCATCAAAAAGAACGAAATCTTGCTATTTGCAATGACATGGATGGAGCCAGAGAATATTACACTAAGTGAAATAAGTCAGTCAGAGAAAAACAAATACTATATGGTTTCACTCATGAGGAATTTAAGAAACAAAACAAACAAGCAAAGGGAAAAAAGAGAGAGAGGCAAACCAAGAAAGAGACTCTTAACTACAGAGAACAAACTGATGGTTACCAAAAGGGAGTGGGTAGGGGGATGGGTGAAATAAATGAAGGGGATTAAGAGTGCACTTATCTTTGTTTTTAAAGATTTTATTTATTTATTGAGACAGAGAGATAGTGAGAGAGAGAACAAGCAGGGGGGAGAGGGAGAAGCAGGCTCTCCACTGAGCAAGGAGCCTGATGCTGGACTCGATCCCTGGACCCTGGGATCAGACCTGAGCCAAAGTCAGACGCTTAACCGACTGAGCCACCCAGGCGCCCAAGAGTACACTTACTTAACTTGATGAACACTGAGTAAGGAATAGAATTGTTGAATCACTGTATCATACGCTTGAAACTAATACAACACTGTATCTTAACTATACTGGAATTAAAATCAAAAACTTAATAACAATTTAAAAAATAGTCCCACTTCATTACTTTCCCTTCTCAGATTTCTAGGTTAACCACTATTTTTGCTCATCTAATAAAATTTTGAACTAGTTGTGCACATTTGAAAGAAAAAAATGTTCATTGGGCCAAGATTTCATTCCATGCCTAGACTGAAGTGTTGTCTTTCTTTCCAAGAACACCTCTATCTACCCACATCAAGTGTTCTTTGATGTTCCTCAGTAGTACTAATTATAATGGGTAATATTTCCTGCTCATTTACTTGATTCCAGGCACTGTTCTAAGAGTTTTGTATGCATTGCCTGGCTTCACCTCCGGGCAACACTGCTGTATGTGGGAGGTACCAATATTCTCTTTACAGAGAGAAAATGACAGCATGGAGAAGTCAGCTTTTATGTTTTCTTCAAATAAGTCCTAAATATATTGTCCTAGGATTTTATTATTATTTTATTTATTTATTTATTTATTAAAGATTTTATTTACTTATTTGACAGAGAGAGACACAGCAAGAGAGGGAACACAAGCAGGGGGAGTGGGAGAAGCAGGCTTCCCGCCGAGCAGAGAGCCTGACTGGGGGGCTTGATCCCAAGACCCTGGGATCATGACCTGAGCCGAAGGCAGACGCTTAACCAACTGAGCCACCCAGGCACCCCAGGATTTTATTATTTTAATAGAAAATATGAGTGAGATGCCTTTTAGGGCATCTATTCAAAGAATAGGATCCTTTGACCTATTCATCTGATGAATGTTGTAAATACATTTCCAAATGTTAAATAACCCCCACTTCTGGAATAAATCCCACCTTGTAGGGTGTGGTATTTCTTTAATGTTCTACTGTATTTTGTTAATAATGCTTTATTTAAGATTTGCAATTTGTGCTCAAGTAAGATTGTTATGTGGTGATCCCCTGTTACAGGAGCATGCGATGTTGATGTCCATCATAAGAAATGACCGTGAGAATTTCATGTTTTCTATTCATTCAAACAATGTAAATAGATATATTAGATATATGGTTTGTATATATCTTTGATATTTATATATATATAAATATAAGGGGTTGGGAGTATATATTTATATACTTGATATATCTTTGTATATATTAGATATATATTTGTACCAGGAAGCTTTTTAGAAATTAATTTATTATACACCCTACAATGGCACGCTTTTGTTTTGTTTGTTTGCTTTTGTTTGTGGATTAGCTCTTTTATAATGTAAAATGACACTGCTTTCAAGAGGGTGCTCTGGGAATAGATGGTTAGCTCAGTGAAACAGAACTGAGAGCCGAGAACTCTCTCAGGGTAAGTGACTTTAGCACATCAAAGGTAGCATCTTATCCTGGAGGAAAAGATGGGGTTGGGACAGGTGCACAGCCATTGGAAAACAATCTGAAGCATGGCTCTGTCTTAATCTACACAAAGATAAATCTCAAAGGGTTGAAATTTAAATGGAATCATTAAACTAGTCAACTTTAAAAACATTGGGTAAATGGTTTTCTAATTTTTCTGTGGAAGATGGAGCAGATTTGATTAATCAGAATAAAAATTTCTGAATGGCGAGTATATCTAAAAACTAAAAGATAAATGTGAAACTGGAAGAGAAACCATTGGCAACAAACATGAGACAATGCATGCTATCCTTGTTATACAGTGTTCTTCCAATTCATTTTAAGAAAACAAACAACGGAATAGAAAAAAATGGCCAAAGGCAGAAACAGAAACTTCCCAAGAAGAAATACAGTTGCTTCTAAAAAATATGAAAAGACGTTCAACCTTACTAAAAACCAGACTCAGATGAAAATTAATATGGTATGTAAATTTTATCCTATCACATCAGAGGTCACTCAAAAGTCTGAGTGATGGTAAAGTGTTTGGCAATGACCTTTCTCACAGACTGTGGGTGTGAGGGTAAATTTAAATATGTGTAGTTTTTGACCCCCAAATTTTGCTTCCAAGAAAATGTACTAAAGGAATAATTGATTATTTGTGCAAAAAACAATCACAAGTGATCTGAGGTGCTTATTATATATCATTGCTCATATTACATATTACCTTAATATTTATTAATAAGGATTTAGTTAACTAAGCTAGGATTATTTCATATAATTGACTATTATTTACTCATAAAAATGATTATTTAGTTTATATCAATTGAATGGAAATATGTCCACAGTACATGGTTGAGAGAACTAGGCAATTTATAAAAATTCCAAAACAATGATGATACAATGATTTTGTGGATAACATGATACTGTGTGTTTTCTTTCTTTCTTTCTTTCTTTCTTTCTTTCTTTCTTTCTTTCTTTCTTTCTTCCTTCCTTCCTTCCTTCCTTCCTTCCTTTCTTTCTTTCTTTCTTTCTTTCTTCTGTCAGGTACAGATAGGGTAGGGATCAGGATGGTGCAGAGAGAATTATAGAAGAATGCTTACCAGAATGTTCTATAGTGATTATTTCCTGGTGTTGGGGTTTCGAGTGCTCTTAACTTTCTTATTTTACGCTTTTTTCTACTGATTGATTTTGGTTTTATATCAAGCATGTTTTTAAATCAGAAGAAAATAAAGTTCCATTTTGAAGAATAATTATATTCACTCTTCAAAGATATAATTCTAAAATCCTATATGTTTAGCTTATTTGAATTTCCAATGTGTTTTTAAGTCTTAAAAATTTGGGAAAATTAAAATAGATAATATGGCATATTATATATTATCTATCACCTTTTGCTAATAGAAAATCATTTTATATATACATTTTAAAAATAATAATGGCTTTTATTAGAATAGGCAGCTTCAATAATTCTAAGAATTCTACTTAAGAATTCAATATTAAGCGGGAAACAGTTAATCAGTAAATTTGATGAAATTATTTTAGTAAAATTTAACCAATTTTGGAGAATCCTGCTAATTTTTAAATATTTCAAACATTCAATTTGAGTTAAAATTTTCAAATATTTTTAAAAAGTACCCATTTTGCATCAGCAAATTATCCCCCCTGGGCTATATCCAGCCTGTTGCCTCTTTTTGTATGGCTTATGAGCTAAGAATAGTTGCTACCTTTTTAAGGGGCTGGAAAAAAAATTAAAAGAAGAATATTTTATGACAGGTAAAAATGACATGAAATTCAAATTTCAGTGTCCGTAAATCAAGCGCTGATTTAGATTAATGAAAAAGTTGTTTACTCTTTTTCTTGTCATGTAAGTACCTACATAATATTCTTGATTTTGCCTCTTGGCCCACGAGCTCCCAAATATTTGCCATCCGACCCTTTACAAGAAAAGAACAGCCAGGCAGGCAGGTTACCTGTGAAATCAGCAACCCTCGGGTCTCTTCTTGCGGGCTGAGGGTGGCCATAGGGAAAGGAGAGGTAGCGGATATTTTTGGTACCAGCCTGTGGATAACAAACAGAAAGGAAAAGCAGAGGTGAGTCTGCGATTCAGAGCCTCCCGTGGGGAACAGTGGGAGATACAGGCCCACACTGGGCACCTCACATAAGTTCCAGGCTCCTTGGCACTCCTGTGACTCTGGTTTAGAGACAGCAGAATGCTTCAGCCTTCAATATGTGTTTCCTTTCCCTCTCATGATAAAATAGACCATTAGGAACCCCTCACTTGACTTTATTTTGGAAGCCATTTGTTTTTTCGTAAGAAAAACAGAATTATGGATTATTGGGATATATTGTTATAGGAAAAAATAAAGAGTATTTAGTCCATGGCCAGGAGATCTGTATTCTATTCATTGGAATAATTATGATTAAGTGGGATAAGCCAATTAGCCTTTTTTGTGCTGGAATTTCACTGTCTGGAGAAAGGGGATAAAATGCCTGTGTTAACGTTGTTCACAGAAAGAGTTTGAGGATAAAGTAAAACACTAGAAAGCACTTGTATTCTTTGCAAACACAATATGAATGCTATGTCACAATATCGCTAGTAGGTTTACAGGTGCCTCTTAATGTTGGCCCGTCAGATGTGTGCTTAAGGTAAGCATTCCTACAAGACCACAGGTTGAACACTTAGTTTGATTTTATTTTGAAAATGATAAATTGTGAAACTACAATGTTTGAACAAGGTCACTTAACCCTCTGTTATTACTATCCTCCTCATTATCATTACATTTTAGCCACTGAGACTAGGGTAGAAATTAGAATCTACTCCAGACATAACTTTCGTCCAGAAGTTCCAGTGAGATTGGTTCCATATGGCCTCAAATAGAATTGTTCAGATGCACAGTGGGTAATATGAAGATGAGACTCCAGAGTCAGGGCAAGAACAGATCCTTTCCTAGATCTTCCTGGGAGAGAAGGAAGCTTCTAGAGCCCAGCGCCCCAGTCCATGGAGGCTCCCCTGGAATGGTCAGTACCTGGCCACCATGGCACTTGGTCTAGACTCACAGCCCGGGGAGTGTGTTCCTGTCGCTGACTGGATCCTGGAGGCGCATCCTAACCATGGACCCTAAGGCTCCAGACCCAGAGGGAAGTTGTCTTGTGTCCTGCACCCTCTTGCTTTGGTTTACTCTGGCTACAAGGTGCTGGTTTTGTGTAACTACCACTGGCAGTCACCCGAGGAGGCCCTGTGCAAGGGACTGTCCCAGCTCCCGGGTGCGTCTACAGACTCCTCCATACCGGCTTTCCCCACGGCAGGCTGTGGCCTTTCCTCATGCTCTCCCTTAAAGTATTCTGGCGGCGGATCAGAATCTCTTTAGCCTGCTTCTCGCTTGTTTGGGGTTTGAGGTTGTATTTGTTGTAGGACAGGGTCTGCGGAAAGAATAGAATGTCAAATACGTAAGGACATCTCCATACAACCACGGAAATATCACATACTAAGACTACTAGAGAAAAGACAGCGGAGAGGCCACCTAAGCATTTGCCTCAATTACAAAGGAGCAAGCAGTGGCCCCTGAGAAGAAAGACCTGTGACAGAGGCCACCCTACCAGGACAGAGCTGAGGTTTAGAGCCTGTGCCTTCTGGCTCGCACCGCCCTGCTGTCTCCCTGCATTGTCTCTTTAGTATCCTTGCAGTGGTCCTGCCCTGAGATACCCATGGACTTCAGCTGCCCCATACCCACACGCTTTCCCAGATCATGTTTTTTATGCTTGGACAGTGGTTACTGAAAGTTTGGATCTAATGGGTCAGGAAAATGACAAAATTACTTTGGGAATTTCATTAAGGTTGCTATTTATACATTTTGCCAGTTAAAGCTACATTCAAAAAAATCAACCGATTACTATCACCATTATCAGTTCAAAAAGGAAGAGGGTTTTTTTTTTTTAAGCAAAATGTAGGAAGTGCATAATTGCTGATTAAAGAGCTGTCCTTCAAACTGAATCAATTATCTTTATAAAAAATTTTCTTCCTTATTCTTACCAGGCCAGTGATAACCTGTCTTGAACCATAGACCAAGCTTGGTCCTCAAATGTTCATAAAGTGCTTAATTGGAAACTCCTTTCTCCCTACTTTTCACTGTGCAGCAGTAAATATACTGGTCCCACTGGATACCAGATTCAGGACTGGTTAATGGATATTGTATTAAGGATTTCAAATTCAATAGCAAAATAGCAAATACTCTGTGTGTCAGGTGCCGTGGTAGATGCAGGAGTTTTAAAAAAATGGATAAATTTGAAGAGTGGTCTTCAAAAGGCTCATGGCCTATTTGGGTCATCAAACAAGCATATACTGTTATGTGCTTAGGAAGTGATAAGATATTGGGGTCTGCAGGGACTTACAGAGTTTAGGCAAAGGGCACTGATCCAGTCTTGGGTGGGAAAGGTGCATTGCACTGGACTGAGTCTTGAAAGAGGAGTAGATGTTCCCTTCACGAAGAGGGAACACAGGAGATAAGACATAGCTCTGGAAAAACGTGATGGGAGCTAGGAGGACCTACTGGAGCAGAACTGGAAATTTGTTTACCACAGGAGAATTTAGTACTTTATTCAAAGTATGGTAAGAAATGAGACAGGGGCAGGAGTGGGGGAGCATCCTAGGGACAACCTGCCAAGAGAAGAGACTCCATCCTCCAGACCAAGGGTCCCTTAAGTGGGGTGCACACACTTTAAGAGATGCCACAAGATGATCTCCAGTGTAAGGAAAAAATACCAATACCTATGTTTCCATTCATTTTTATAAAAAATAAAAAAGAAATTAAGCTTTCTTTGTACTTAATATGGAGATTTATAACAGACCCTTGCTTGGTCGATATAGGAGGTGGTCCAGTTCCCCACCAGAACAGAAGAGGGTGTTTATAACAAGTAGGGGTTGACCACAGTGTACTCACTGGTTCAGTGGTTTTTAGTTTATTGCTTGTGTTTTAGTGTATATATAGCCAGTCAAGTAGATTCGTGGCTTTCATTATCTGTTAGTTAACTAATCCTCACAAAATAGACAACTGTCTAAAAGAAGTTCCATAAAGAAGGTACGAGTTGGAGGCCAAGGGAACAATGAGGAATTTGCAAAGCCAACTTTCACCGTCTCCTGATAGGAGCTCTTTACCAGCCACTCTTGACAAATTAACCAATCTGATAAAAAAAACTCTGGCAAAAAATTAAATTTTTGAAATATGTTTGAAATAGGGATTCTTATCCACCATCACTAATGATGGACCTCAACTTCAGTGCACTGTATAGATGGAGATATTAAAGAATGACATATGACACTATCACAGAAAACATTTTTAAATTAAGTATTAGGATACCAAGACAAACTTCTACAATTTTTCATCAACGTTAAATTCGTGCAAAAGTGAAGTCGGTGTGCGTGTATGTTTATATACACACATGTATGTATGTGTGTCTGTACATATATATACATGTATGTGTATATGTTGCTGGTAGGAATTTCCTACACCTTGACTTGAGGGCTGTACTTTAAGGAACACTTGCACATTTTTTGTTCTATTTCACCTCATATCACACCACCCATGTAATTATCCTTGCCTATCTGCAGGGAGCATAGTACGTCCTATGTATATAATGTATATGCAATTTTCTTCCCTCTGTTTCTTTCAGTCCAGTCATTTAATGAAGGAACTGGTGATTGCTGAAAGACTGTATTTGCCCCTAGAACTTGAGCTCTATGGGACAAAGCTCTAGATATGCATTAAAAATCTGCTGAAGAGAACTGAAATTGAATAAACTGTTTTACTCCTTTGAATTCTGAGTGTGACCTGATCATTTGGGCCACCCCAGGGGGCTGCCCATCAATAATCTCTGCCTTATCCTTAGAGTCTGAGCAGAGGTCAGTTTCTTCCCTTGTACAATTAAAAAGAGTGTTTCCCCATCTCCATCCCCAGTGTGTTGCAAAGAGCTTCTGCATCCCAGAGGGCTGTCCCACTGGGAACCTCTGGAGGCTAGTTCTTCAACTTGCCCAGCAGTGACAATCTGATACTGGACGTGCTGATGGGAATGGCTTCAAACAGAAGTGGCCAGAGCCCTCCCAGGAGCAACAGATCGGGCAGGACCAGCTCAGTTTCAGATCAGCTATGAATCAGGATCCCCCAGTCAAACCCGGCACTCATCTCCCCTTGCCCTGAAATGACTCCTGACTCTTCTGAGATGAGACTGTGAGAAGTGCCCCAGCCATCAGCCCCACACCGTGTGAGGTCCAGTGACTATCACCCAGGCTAGAGACTACAGATGTCACCTTTTGTGACAATCCTCAAAACTGTAGATCACTCACTAGAAACCAAGGAGACAGTCGTCCTGCATTGCATCTCTAGAGCAGGTTTTCTTTCAAGAGGGCAAGAGGACCACAGGGCAAAGGGGAGTCACCTGACCTATGTAAAAGATGGGATAAGAAAGGAGACCGGAAGGGAAGGACTGGTGAGGCTCACTTCGTCAAAGTAACAAAAAGTGGAGGTAAAAGCCATCTCAGGGGCTTGAAACGCCCTTCTGTTTATTATTTATGTTCTCCCCATGTGACCTTCCATGACACATCTGCTTATTTGGGGGCAGTAAGAAAGGTAGCTGTTATATAGCTTAGAAGGGAGAAATCTGGAGGACAGACGGAATAGACGCCCTTAGGAAAGAAGAAATGTGGCCATCTGGGAGCCTGAATGGAAGGAAGGAAAGAGAGAATGGGTAGCTAACCTCATTTTAGACTGAGTTGGAATCCCAGGATCTCCATCTCCATTTCTGGACATTTCCTTCAATTCAACCTTCGTCCACATGGGGAAAAGGCCGAGTTTCAGGCCACCTTTGAGCTCTGGCCCCTAAGAAGCCAGCCGACATTCTTCAAACCAGGAAGCTTTTAACAATTTATCTAACTATTTATCAGAATGTGATAGTCTTACTGAAACAGTTTCACTTGGAATGATTTGAAAGCTCTTGAATTTACTCTAAGCTTGCTATAATTGATGCTGACCTATATTCCTTCAGCAGGTGCAGAGCCTTTGGCTGACACATTCCCCTTAATCACTGACCTTTCCAAAACAGGAATCCAGAGAACGTTCACTTTAACTGGATCGGGTAAGGCTGGAGTCATGGAAAGAGCGCTGGGTAGGCAGTTGGAAGACCTGGGTTCTTAACTTGGATTTTATTGTGTGACCTCCAACAGGTCAGATAAACAACTTCTTAACCTCAGCATCTTCTACTTGAAAGCAAGTAGACCTGATGGATTTTTTGGCCCCATCAAGACCGTGATCTATAACATAGTCACAAAAAGCAAGGCCCTCACAATGAATTTACTTAGAGCCATATCATACTCAAGCATTGGCATGTTCAACTGAATCCTCAAACTGAAAAAAGAAAACTCCTATTTAGATTTCACAAGCTTAAATGTCATTTGACATATCAAAATTTCAGAAGGACTCACCACCACCCCCAGGAATGTTCTTACTATTCACTTTCCACCAGTTCCCAAGTGGTAGTATAGACTCCATACCTTTTTCCAAAATTAAAAAATAATATGCCTAATATGTCTCCTCTAATATAGGCTTTCAGCATTTCAATAACCATCTCAACTTTCTAAGCTCTATTACAGTCAATCAGATCGAGCCCATCATTGGTGTCCTGGGGCCATCTTTTTCTGTGGTGCAGTGAATGAGCTCCACCACTTGTTCATCTTTGGAGGGAGAGGGAGACCTGTTGGTTCTGAAAGTACCAGGCTGCAGGGCTAGGGCAGCCTGACCCCTAGGGCCAGCAATTGGATCTGCATTCCTTTTTACACCGCTTATGCCAATTTTTTTTTTTTTTTTTTTTTTAGCAAAAAGGTAACAATTAACTTTCTGTTCTCCAAATCAAGCAGAAAGAAATGGTTTAGCCAGAAAGCTGCTTTAGAGGAGATAATGTGAACAAGAACGGATTCCTGAATGACTGGTTCCAAGGCCAGGCAATGGGACAAGTCAGATGGCTTATACACACCCTTTGTCGAACTTGGTACATGTTGTGTGTCAGAACGTCCCTCATGGACTCCACATCTTCCGGGGAAAGCCTTCTGGTTCTGTGTGTCCTCTGGGCCCTGGAAACATCATTGGAGGGAAGCCAAGCATTATTCTTACATCCTGGCAAGAGTGCCACAAAAGTATCTATATACATGTGGGAGTTCTAAGTTCCAGAACACATAGTTTAACATAATTTTTTCTACTGTTTTAGTATGTTCCTGCGAAATGTCAGTACATGTGTCTTGACTTCACATTTTGAAAATATGGTTTCCTTGCCTATAGCTTTTATGTGGGAATTATTCTAACTCATTTTTAAAAAGGGGTTTAAGGTGGTTACAAACCAGTTATTTTTTCCTCCGTATTTGTTATGAGCAGACATGTTGGTAAAATACAATAAAAATCAATTGCTAGAAAATAAATTTTTAAAAAGATACTATAAAATTAGAACCAAACGTTTTACTGTTAGATTAAATGGAAATAAGATTACTAAGCAAGAATGACTTGTGGTTAGGTCTGCACTCATCCCACTGCGACAGGTGACAAACAGCTCATGGACAACACCATTCGCACACCACATTTTGAATAGCACTGATCTAAGGGGGTATTAAAATTCTGTGAGTACCTTTACCTTGGAATTGTCCCTTTAGGGATTTTATCGTTGGTTAAAGAATAATGGTAAGAAACTAGAATCATATTTTATGAGGACATTTAGACTATTTCTATTCTGAAAGCCAGCCCAGCTCTGAGACACTGGGCACTCTGTGAGATTCTAGAAGCAGTTGACTGCTCCCTGCCTCCGCATGACCAGTTCCCCAAGGCTTCCTTCACCATGAGCCCTCCCCCTCCTTCCCCCCCCAGCTGCGCCCCCAAATGGGTTTAAAAATCAAGTCATGTCCAGGTTATCAGTAAATGCACAATTGTCTTCTGAGGATTTCAAAGTCATGACATTGTTATGTGCAGAATTCTGATGTGACAGATATATTTGATTTCAATCATTTCAATCTAGTGGCAGGAATTTCTAGAAAAGATTTCATTGTATGAATAATATATGTTCACTGTAGAAAGTAAGAACAAAAAAGAGAGAACTAAAGAAAATTCAATCCATCTTTCAATACTCTCACCTCCTTTAGTATCTTGGTATAAAACCTTACAGAGTTGATTTTTTCTTTCCTCGCTGGAGCTCTTCTCAAGGCATAAAGGCATGAAGATGCTACTATCTGCTTGCAAAGGTCTTAGGATAATTGATCACAGAGATCAGTAGTTGTTGGTTTCAATACAGGCCACTTTTTAAGTATTTTTCCCAAACATTAGTAGCAACATAGCCATACAGAGCAAGGACATTTTGTGAGTACTTTTTGTACATTTGTAGGTACAATTGTTAAAATATTTTTAAGGACTTGGATACGGGGGATCACAGTATGCCAGAATTTATTTAGCAATCCTACCTGTAGACCGACTAATGCCCTTTCTACAAAATCCTTGAAATCAGAGGTTCCATATCTCAGAGCTGCAAATGTCAACACTATTGATATTCACTTACCACCGTTGGTGATCTAAACATTATTATCAGGGCATTTCAACCTTACTATTTAAAAGTCCTTGAAATAAAATTTATTCTGATTGAGGTACACCTACACATTCCCACAATCTGAACACATTCCTTTATTATGGTGGAAGCAATCTCTTGCTGAGCAGAAACAACAGCTAATCAAAAAGTTACATTTCCTATGTTCATAATGATATTCACAACCAAATAGGAAAAAAACCATAAGATAATGTTAAAGTTAAACTCAAGTTAGCAGTAGGTCTAACTTGGCACTCTTCCCAGTTTCTAACTGGCCACTTTGGGAAAGACTAGACTTAATTAATGTCCATTCAGGCTGTTGGCTGGATGCGTAACACAGGGATCCCAAAGGCACTGTCACGCACTGATCCACGCTGAGAAGCGACAGCTATGAAATTTTACAGAGGAATTGTTAATTTAGGCAAGGTGATACCTGGAGTTTTCTACATGCCATTTCATTAGCAAAATCATCCCTGAAATGATCATATTGTGAGCACAGGAAAGATACAGTCCTTAGAAAAACTGAATGTTAAGAATCTCTAGGTAAAGAAAATAAAATTATAAGCTGAGAGATGCTTGTCACTGGAACATCCATTCAATATCCATAAAGGAAATTTCTGTCACCTCAAATAAAAGCCCTGTGGTAATTTCATGACTATGAAAATCAAACTGGGAAAATCTGAATCCGAAGGTATTTAAATAAAAGTTTCACATTTCTCTTAACTTTTTTTAATCAGATGCTATAATAATGTAAAAAGATGCTTCAGTTCTAAACACAACAAATATAATTATGAAATCTAGTAGCAGATGTTCTATTCATGTCGTGATATGAATTCCTAAAAGATCAAATATTATACCCTGGTTCGTTTGAAAGAACCCATTCTCTTGTGATAGCTTTGCACACAAAATCCATGAGAAATGTATGCTAAGGCGAACAAAAAATGCGCCCACTGATTAACCAATGGGACCCAACTGCTCTTCTCAGTGCGTGGCTTCCTTGTGTCTTTTTAGAGAGGTCACCAAGATGACCAACATTTAGGATGAGTGAAGAGTGGCAAAGGAGAGGGCCTGGCGCCGCACAACACAATGTTCCATTGTGGAAGTGAAAATGGCACCAGAATCTTCCTTCCAGAATCTTCGGTGTAAGAATGCATAAATGTAAGCCTCTACCTGCCAATATGTGATCAACCAATTAAAAAATTCTTAAACTACAATAAAGAAATTTGTGTTTTTTTTTAATAAATGACATGTTAAAATTATTTGGGAGCTTTTAAGGATGACGCTTTGAAGTTATATAGTGGTAGTTTGTTATGCTCCTAACTTTATACACACTTTAATATCTCTTTAATAGTAACCAAATATTTTTTAAGGGTTTGACATTTTAATCATTTGAGCCTTTATCGTCTGGTATTTCTAAAAGCTTACTACTCATTGGTAAAACGAAGTGCCTCTTATTTAAAATAATAATCCAAGTTCACACTCTACCTATTCCCTAGAGTTGTTTTGAGGGTCAAATAACATAATGCATGCAAAAATAAGGGCATTCGGTAGAATCGCCAACTGCACTGTGCTATCGACAACTTCTGGTGGTCGTGTTCTCCTGAAGTTCACAGAGTTTGGAAAGCTAACCCTCTTGTAGAACAATTGCTTAAACTTCTAAAGAAAAAAATATATGTGCATTTTGTTGTTATCATCTCATACAGAATAATAAAAAGCGAGCTGAGTACACACTTCTTTTTCCTATTATTGTATAAAGGTTTGTTTTGAAGAAATTAGCTGCTTTGATCTTGGGAGAGGAATTCCTTTTTGCTTGATGTCGTACAGATTTCTGATGAGATCAAATGAATGCAATCTAAGTACCGTTAAACTTGTATTAAATATCAGGTAAAAGAATCTCCTCTCCTAGCCCAGTTAACTAACTGGTTTGGGCCGTTAGAGGAAAAAAAGAGTTTCTAACCTCGAAGGCTCTCTTACTAATCTTGAATCGATGTCTAAAAACTAATGAACTCAACAGAAAGGCTCCCTCCAAATAAAGCTGGCTTGAAAACTGCCTTGAGGTTAGAGACTGGGGCCGCTGCTTACGACCAATGCAACATAATACAGAGATTGCAAATATGTTTTAGCACATGACAGACTGATTCTCATCTGAGATAAGCACCCTTACATTCTTAGACCCAGAGCTCACAGAACTAGTAAGCAAATGGATTCAGGAAGTTCCTAATGGTCTAAAGTGCCTGAACCTATCCAGCCCTCCTGCAAGGCATTAACTCCCATGCACCCAGTGAGCAGGTCAAATGCCTGGGGACCAGAGGGGCACCTCTTATACTCTCCTAGCTCCCTAGACTTTACGATTGTATGTTTGTCAGAAACTTTTTTATTAATGCCATGACTGTGCTAGGGTATATAAGCTCCATGAGACCAGGGACTGTGTCTGTTTGACGCCCCTGGCACATAATAAGTGCCCACAGAACAGGGTTGGGCCCAAGATGATGCCAAAAAAGCTCAGTCAAGTTAAGTAGGATGCAAATGCAATATTTTAGAAAACAAAGGTCAATGCAAAAAAGAAAACAATCCACGATGAATAAAATATCCACGTTTTAAATAAAGACAGGATCGATAATACTGATTTTTTTCTTCTGCCTTAGGCTCTAATATGGCTCCGCATGGCATTACCAATAAATATTTGTTAGCACATTGCCATTTTCGCATCAGAAGTTTCCTTAAAGCAAGCCATGCAATGGGCAGTACCAATACAAACAAGCAAACCACAGAAACAGTCTGACTGAGAAATAAGGCAGAAAGTTCTCTGTTTACACTGAGATGCCCTCAGGGACCCTACTTGAGATTTTTCTCAGGCCTCGGAAGAAAGGAAAGGCTGTTTCTGATTCATTAGCAAGTAAGGGATGCGAGATAACACTCGGGTATTAGTGACAATTTTATTGCTATCTGTTCTTAGCTCTTATCTCAACCTGCTTTTCAAACGTGAAGACACAATTGAAGCTCATGATCAATGTCTACCTACGAAGATGACCGGATGGAGGTGTTCCTTGCCCTAAATATATTGTGAGTAATTTTCTCAATTCATAAACTGCTTTTATTTTTTTAGATATTTTTTAATTTGTCAGAGAAAGAGAGAGAGAGAGTGTGTGTGTGCACAGGCAGGGGGGAGGGTCAGAGGCAGAGGGAGAAGCAGGCTCCCCGCCGAGCAAGGAGCCAGATGCAGGACTCGATCCCAGGACCCTGGGATCATGACCTGAGCCGAAGGCAGACGTTTAACTGATTGAGCCACCCAGGGGTCCCTCATAAACTGCTTCATGAAAGAAACCTGGACATCCTTGGACACCCTTGAGTGGGGGGGCAGGTAAATTTAACTAGCCCACCAACCACCACACCTGTTACCACCACTCAACCCCTAATCCCAGGTAGCATCACAAGATGCTGACCGGGTCTCTCCTTCTCATACAAGAGAGGAAGAGAAATAAATGACTTCCTGGAGAAATGCATATTATTATTAGTGTACAATTAGCAAAATCAAATGAACCGGGGTTGAAGGGTAGAAATTAATCAAAAAGAGAAAGTCTTGTAAACTATGCCATCATTCTATAAATTCACTTGCCCCTCCTTCCCAAGGAAAGGTGTCATACAACTATCGCACGCAACTTTTGCTAGAAAATAATGTTCAGAAATGAGGTGAGGTGAGCGTGGGCCAAAATGCAAATGGCCAAGACTTCGGTCATCCTTTTCTCATGATTCGTCCTTCAAATTTCTGCCCCTTCACTCCTAGTATTATCTCTAAATGGAACGATGAGTTAGTGCCCCTAGGAATTCTGACACGGAAAGTCCAGATCAAAGAGTATATGGGACTTACTGGTGGGGTACAGAAAAGGCTGTGGAACTGAGGATCCCAGTTTCTACCATCTCAATAGCTTGTTTCATTTCCAGCTTCTTGTACAAGGAGACAATGCTGGATTTGGGCTGGTTCTTTCGGATTAGGATTTTCCGTAAATATCTGTGATCAAACTTCTTAAACCTAAAAACGAAAACCAACATTTTGGACATCTTTAATCTCTGTACATGTTATGGAAGTATGTATTTTTCTTAAAACAAACTACTACCTCACTTTGTTCTGAACACCAGGATGGTGCTGAGAATTCAGTCTTAGAACACATTTTTAAAAAAATCATTGGAAATATATATATATATATATATTTTTTTTTTTTTTTAAATAAAGAAAGAATAGCCTACTAGCCTGAATACATTGAAAATCAACTAGACAAAAGGGAGGGACAAGCTGCAATCAGGGCCGAAAGTATGCATAAGCAGGGAGCGGGGGAGGCCCAGCCCAGCTCAGTTCCAATTGTAAGAGAAGAAATGAGGGGTTGAGGCTTTTGAACAAATGTTCCATTCTAATAGCTCCTAACAGTGGCAGTGGCACTTACAGTAATACTGGCCTATTCAACCAGAACCCAATAAATTTAAATGGCCCAGTAGTTACAGTAGTTTTGCCCATTATGTTGCAGATCATTTTGATTCCTGACAATGAAGGAGGGGGTAGGGGGAGAACCCCTATATCCTGACAGTCTGAATGATGGAGAAGCTGGTGCTGATGGCCGCTGACTATTGTAACAAACCTCTGGTTGGCCCATTAGACTGAGCTGCACGTCGGCATATGGAGCCTTCAGAGTCGGCCATTTGTTTGGAGTAGGAATTTTCAACACTTCCAATCATTTTACATTCAAAGAGTAATTTGTGTGCCTGCTTTATTTTCTGGAGGGGAAAGAACTCCCAGGGCTGCTGCCTTATTATCTGGTGATTGGTCTCCTGGTCTGTGAGGCAGAAGGATGCTTCATCAGTCAAGTCTCCTCCGGGGTCAGCAGGCTGTGATTCCTTAGGATCCGTGTTTGGCTCATGCCTTGCCTGCTCTTGCTCCAGATGGGTCTACCTCTCAGCCTTCTTATTTTCTGCCTTTCTTCAAGAGAAGCTGTTGTTCCTGTTTATTCCTCAGTCCCCTGCATTGCTCCCCACCCATCAGGACTTCTCTGACACTCTTTACATTGAGCTCACCTTGACCTTTACTGTTCCACGCTGGTGGGTGCCCTACGTGCCACCTGGCTCCTCCCGATGTGCCACTGGGTCATTTCCTCTGTGCCCACCACATCCTGATCTACACCTGCGTCCCTGCCAACCTCCCTAAAGGCTTCTTTCCAAATCTCTTCCTCTTCCTTACCTGCCCAAGAGGAATGGAAGCTTCTCAGAGTCCTGTCCTCACTCAGCTTCCCCTCTCCATACCCTGGTATTATTTAACTGGACATTCTCCTATAGTCTATACATTTCACCTTGGCATTGTTATCCCCCTAGCTCGCTATCTGGAAATCTGAGAGTCACTTTTATTGTCTCTTTCCTCACCCTCTTCTCCCTATACCCCTGGCCAGTCCCCATGTCTGCCTCAGAAATATGCCAGTGCCCCTTCTGCTCGTTCCTCATCCCTATGATTCTGAAAGCTCTGTGGTTCATTGGAAACAGAAGAGGCTCTAAAGCCAGACCTGAATTCAGTCAAGTTTCTGCTGTAGGTTAGTTGATACCCTGGAGCTGGTTTCTTCATCTTCAAAATGAGAAAAATAGTGCTAACACAGGAGATTCAGGAGATCATGTACGATAGAATATATGAAAAAGCTAGCATAGTATCTGAGGCTTATTTTATGTTTACAGGATGAAATTCTTATGTCCATGTGGATATCCCTCACAGGTCTCGCACCCCACGGTGTCTGTCTCAAATTCAGCTTCCATATCGCTGGTGTTGTTTGCCTTCCAAAAGCCAAGTATGGTCATGCTACTTTCCTATTTGTTTATTTCTTTTTTCTTTTTTTTAAATTTATCTTATTTTATTTGAATTCAATTAATTATCATATAGTGTACCAATAGTTTCTGATGTAGAGGTCAGTTATTCATCAATTGCATATAACACTCAGTGCTCATTACATTATGGGCCCTCCTTAATACCCATCACTTGGTTACCCCATCCCCCCCACCCACCTGCCCTCCCACAATCCTCAGTTTGTTTCCTATGATTAAGAGTCTCTTATGGTTTGTCTCCCTCTCTGATTTTGTCTTATTTTATTTTTCCCCTCCCTTCCCCTATGATCCTCTGTTTTGTTTCTTAAATTCCACATATGAGTGAAACCATATGACAATTGTCCTCCTCTAATTAACTTATAATACCCTCTAGTTCCATCCATGTCACTGTAAATGGTAAGAGTTCATCCTTTTTGAAGGCTGACTAATACTCCATTGTGTATATATACCACATCTTCTTTATCTATCCATCTGCCAATGGACATCTAGGCTCTTTCCATAGTTTGGCTATTGTGGACATTGCTGCTATAAACCTTGGGGTGCAGGTGCCCCTTCAGATCACATTGTTTGTATCCTTTGGGTAAATACCTAGTAGTGTAATTGCTGGGTTATAGGGTAGCTCTATTTTTAACTTTTTGAGGAACCTCCATACTGTTTTCCAGAGTGGCCGCACCAGCTTGCATTCCCACCAACAGCGTAGGAGGGTTCCCCTTTCTCCACATCCTCGCCAACATTTGTTGTTTCCCGACTTGTTAATTTTAGCCATCTGACCGGTGTGAGGTGGTAACTCATTGGGGTTTTGATTTGTATTTCCCTGATGCCAAGTGATGTTGAGCATTTTTTCATGTGTCTGTTGGCCATTTCTTTGTCTTCTTTGGAGAAATGTCTGTTCATGTCTTCTGCCCATTTCTTGACTGGGTTATTTGTTTTCTGAGTGTTGAGTTTGATAAGTTCTTTATAGATCTTGGATATTAACCCTTTATGTGATAAGACATTTGCAAATATCTTCTCCCATTCTATAGGTTGTCTTTTGGTTTTGTCAACTGTTTCCACTACTCTCTTATTTAAAAGTCTTCTGCTTTGAGTAATCAAGGTCAAATAGAATTTTATAGCATTGATGACTGTATAGAGTTCCTTAGCACTGTGCCATAGAAGCATATCTCTGTCTTTCCAGCTTGTCTCACCGTGTCCCTCTCTCTGTGTCCAAACCATGCTGTACTATTTCTTGCCTTTTCATTTTGAAATAGCCTGCTGCTACTGCTGCTGCTCAGCATGTGTTCCATTCTTTGCCTGGAGACCTCCTCATTTATTTTCAAAATGTACTCCCGTCTCTGTACTATTATAGTTCTAGCATTTACCTCTGCTCTAGGATTTCTTATATGGATCATCATTATTCATTCAAGCTCTTTCTCTCTTCTTTCCCCCAGGACCTTGTCTACTATATTGTGAGGACCTGGAATGCACCGAGTGTGTCTTACTGCTTTTGATATCTGCCTTAGTGTCTGGAAAATTTGGTATAAATTTGGCTAAATGGAATAATATTAAATGATTTTTCACTGGGTGAACTATAGGGTTTAGACTTAAAAAATCCATGACCCAGGTTTTAGATTGGTGGATATTTACATAAATTAAGTTCTATTTTAACACTATGAGGACTGTCCTTCTTTTTGCTTCATAAAAAAGAGCCCACTCAAAATGCAAATTGGTGTAGCCACTGTGGTAAACAGTATGGAAGTTCCTTAAAAAGTTAAAAATAAGACTACCTTACAATCCAGGAATTGTACTACTGGGTATTTACCACCAGAATACAAAAAACACTAATCCAAAGGGATACATGCATCCTTATGTTTAAAGCAGCATTATTTATAATAGCCAAACTATGGAAGCAGCCCAAGCATCCATCGATTGAGGAATGGATAAAGAAGATGTGATATATAAAATAGAATATTACTCAGCCATCAAAAAGAAGGAAATCTTGCCATTTGCAACAACATGGATGGAGCTAGAGAGTATAATACTAAGTGAAATAAGTCAGAGAAAGACAAATATCATATGATTTCACTCACATGTGGAATTAAGAAACAAAACAAAGGAAAAACAGAAAAAAAAGAGAAAGAGAGAGAGACAAACCAAGAAACAGACTCTTAACTATAGAGAACAAACTGGTGGTTCCCAGAGGGGAGGTGGGTGGGAGGATGGGGGGAATACGTGACAGGGATCAAGGAGGGCAGTTGTGATGAGCACCAGGTGTTGTATCACCCACTATATTGTACACCTGAAACTAGTATAACACTGCATTTTAACTAACTGGAATTACAATTTAAAAATAGATTACCCACAGACTCACAAAATAAATAAAACATAAAATTTAAAAAGCCCACCCAAAACCTCTCAGTTTCTCATTTAGGTGCCACTACCCCTCTCATCAGCTAGACTTTTTAAGATGTAGTTTCTCTTGGCATCACCAACATCAATTTGTTGTCAAACCCTAGAGAGAAAACTTCTACTGTTTGGTTAACTCAACTACTGCTGATTCTTACATTCACTAAATTGCTATGTTTAACTCCCAAACTCTCATCTTCCTTATCCTGAGTGCATCTCTCCTCAGGGCCATATAAGAAATATGCTGTAGACTAAAATTCAGGAAGAGAATGTGTTCTGAAATGTGAGATGTGGTGGAGAAGAGAGATTTTGGCATTTTTATAGAATCATGTAGAAAGGACCCTTGAAGGTCTTCCACTGCATCCGCCCTCCCCAGTGGAGGACTGCCTTCCCCAGGATCCCTGATGATTCACCAAACTCCCTCTGTAGCCTTATGAAGTCAGTCATTCCATGGTTGAGCTTATCTCTTCATTGGGAAACTTGTCCTTGTTTTAAACTTAGGTCTGACTTCTCTAATTTCAATCTGGAAATTGCACTAGTTCTCTCTGACACAACATAGCCCAAATCTACAGCCCCTTCCCCTGAGAGCTCTCCATTCACGGGCTGGGCATTCCCATGGCTTCCATCTGCCCCTTCTATGCCATGGCTCCCAGGCCCTTTATATCCCTGGTCCCATTCTTCTGGATTCTTTCTAGTCTTATGCTCAGTTTCCAATGTAACATTTTGAGGTTCCTCATGCCACAAATATCCTTCCTAGGCAGTGAAACCCTCTGCCTCCTTACTTGTCTCTCACTTGGTAGTGACTCCATTGCCCACACACATCTTCAATTCCAGCTTTCAAGTGATCCATCAGCTGCCAAACCAAATACAGGAAAATGATTGCTGGTGAAATGTTAACTCTAAAAGACACACAAGGAAAGCTAATACACTTTGGAAAACAAAGGAGGTTTTAATTTCCTGGAACATGTCCTCATTTCTATCACTCCGTTCATGTAACTGAAACTTATAATTCCATAGTAATTCAACTTAGTTTCATGATTCAGACTCTGTTGATAAGCTCCTTAATAATGCACATAACTTTCAATGAAAAAGGATACCTGCCATTTGCTTTGAGTAATATTTTTCTAGAATGATTTAGAAAATGTCTCATTACTGAAATCACATGACTGTAACAGTTAATTGTTACTTTTAATTTCAGCACAAAAGAAAAACATTGCCAGTATCCAATCTATAGTTTCTGAAAACATAATTCTACAGATATCCTATAATAATAATAATAATAATAATAATAATAACTAACAACAAAATTTACCTATTTGCCTCATTTTTTATCTGATTATTTTGTTTCAGTACTACATTTCACCATCCAAGCCAATTACACTAAATAAATTTGCTTCACCTGAATTATTTACAGGAATTTCAGAAAAAAAGCATAATCTCTTCAAAATTTATGAATTAGTCTTCATAATTTAAACTTGCAATCATTGAAGTTTATGCTGTCCTCTAAAATATTTTCAAAATAGACAAATACTAAATTAATTCTGATACATTTAATTTATGTACTTTCTACCAATAATTATAACTTTATTTGAGAAAAAAATAAATAAGAAAGGAGTAAAGTATCTAAGTTTTATTGTCTTAGGTATATTATTTAATTTCTAAAAAGAGTGCATAGAGGGTATAAAGATAGAAACAAAAATCTTCAGTCAGGTTAAAGCACTTCTTTTTTTTTTTTTTTTAGGATTTTATTTATTTATTTGAGAGAGAATGAACACAGGGGAGGGGCAAAGAGAGAGAGAGAAGCTGCTGAGCAGGGAGCCTGACACGGGGCTCGATTCCAGGACCCTGGCATTGTGACCTGAACCCAAGGCAGACGCTTCACCAACTGAGCCACCCAGGGTCCCCAAAGCATTCCTTATTTTAAAACACTTGCTCCTTATCCCCATCTGTTGAACATTTTCAAATGGCCTTGAAAATTTTTGGTTTGTGTTTAGATGACTTTGGCCATAAAATCCAGGGCTGATTTTGAAAGACTTCATCAGTTTCTCCAGCATTAGAATCATGAACTTAGAGGGATAAAAGAAGTTTAAAAATTACCTGGGACAATCATCCCCTCAGAGCCTAAAGCTCCTGTACAGCAGCTATGCCAAGTGTCCCCAGTCACTGTTTATAGACCTCCATTGAACCTTTGGGTGTGCCATAGGAGAAGCAATTGTCAGAATGCTCTTCATTAACTGAGCTGAAGTCTCTTTCCCTCTGTCTTCCATGTATTCCTTCTCATTTTTATTCCCTGGAGCCATACAGAATGGCATCCCTCTAATATTGTATTGAAGTTAAACCAACAGGTAGAAACCATGCTCAACTTCATTTTCATCTTTGTCAGAATTGAATGTTTTCACTGAAAACTGCTACTAGGCTATATCTGCAGAAGTAGTAGAAGTCTTTACCCTTTCCTAATGAAAAGTTCAGAAAAAGCAGAGGGCCCCATGTTCCATTGGAACAATGATTTCAGAGGCAAGTAGGGCAATTATGAGCATTAGTTATGGTGATCGTTTTTTTGAGGTGTTATCTAGGCAAGGCTAGTCCCCAGGTATTATTAACACTAATCTAGATGTTGCTGTGAAGGTATTTAGCAGATATGATTAAAGTCCATATTCAGTTGTCTTGAAATCAGGAAGATTATCCTCGATAATCTGGGTGAGCCTAGTTTGATCAGTTCAAAGGCCTGGAGAGTAGAACTGAAGCTTCTCTGATGAAGAAGAAAATTCCAGTTGTGCACAGCAGCTGTGGCTCATGCCTGAGAGTTCTGGTCTACCTTTCTTGAAGGGCTGTCATACAGTTTCTGGGCTTGCCTAGTCAGCCCCCACAGTAGGTAAACCAGTTCCTTACAACAAAGCTCTTAATATATATCTCCTACTGGTTCTGCTTCCCTGTTGAACCCTGACAGGAACACTGCCAACTTGAACCAAATGGCAAGGAGAAAAGATAAAATGAAAGTGGGGGTTTGGACCCCAAAGTTCTATAGGCAAGAAACAGGCTGATCAAAGGAATAAGCTGAAAACGCAGGCCATCTTTCATAAAAAAGAAAGGATGACTCCGAGAACCTGGAGTTGAGAACCCAGAGGGTGGAACCCATATTGGAGTTCCAGTCTGAGGGAACAGAGGCTGTTCCCAGGCCTTGAAACCAAGTAGTTTTCCCAGTCATTGGAAATGACTCCCTTTTTCCTTCCATTTCCCCCTTTTTGAAAGGGAATATCTATAGCCCTTGCCCTATGACTGCCCTACCAGTGTGTTTTGGGAGCAGATAACTTGTTTCTTGAGTTCCACATGTTCAGCATTGGAGACGAGCTGTGCCTCAGGATGGATAATACTCAGAGGCTCAACCATCCCTGATTTAGATGATTGAGATGATGAGATTTGGGACTTTTGAGCTGATAAAATTTTGGTGAGGTTTTGGTCTTTGAGTTGACACTACAATGTATTGAGACTTTGGAGATGCCAAGATAGAGTTAATGTATTTTGCATGTGGAATAGATACGAATCTTTGAGGGGCAGAGAGCAGACTGATAGGCAGAATAATGCCTGAAGATGTCCACATTCTAATCCCCAGAACCTGTGAATATGTTAGTTTATATGCAAAGGAAAATTAAGATAGTAGTTGGACTTCTATCTTAAGTTGCCAACCTTAAGATAGAGAGAATATCCTAAATTAGCCACATGGACCTAATATAATCATAAAGGTTTCTAATGTGGAAGAGAAAGGCAGAAAAGTTAGTATCAGAGTGATGCAGCATGAGAAAGACCTGAGTGGCCATTGCTGGCTTTGAAGATGGGAGGGGTCCATAAGCCAAGGAATGCTAGAAGCTTCTAGAAGCTGGAAGAGGCAAGAAAACAGATTCTTCCCTAGAAACTCCCAAAAGAAATACAACCCAGCAACATCTTGATTTTAGCCCAGTGAGACCCATTTTGAACTTCTGACCTACATAACTATAAGATAATAACTATGGTTTTTCAAGCAACTAAATTTATGGTAATTTCCTACAGCAGCAATCAGAAACTAGTACAGTTATTCTTATCTAGCTGGTGAGGAAAGAGACTCGTAAACACATCACTGTTTAGTGATGTGTACACAACATCTCATCATTTAGATGATAGATTACTCCTATCGGTGACAAATGGAGAACATCTTATTAACTTACTAATTATGACAAAGAGATAACTTACACGAATATGAAGCTCTTCGTTGATGGATTCTTTTTTATTGGTCTTTTTAACACCCAGGTACCTGACCAGTGGGCCAATTGTGATTCCCTAGACCACAAATGACAAAATAAAGAGTTTTGTTGTAGTGAATATTGTCATTATAGAGAGAAAGTCTATTAGCAAAACTATTAGAGCTTCCAATTTTCATATCTTTGTTTTGTACTAGCTTCTACTGGATAAATGCTCCAGTGTTTACTTTAGTTCTTATTTAAGTCTTTTAAATTCTGCAATGAAAATAGGCATTACTTTAAAGCAGGAATTTAGTGTCATCCCTTAAAATAACCTTTCATTAGTTTGCTGAGAAAAAAACTCCAGCTAAAATAAAAACTCATGCTATCCAGTACTAACTGGAATCTTGTTTTCAGTAAAACACACTAGCATAACAATCGTTCACCTGCTACCCTGGAATATTTTGATTAATATGTTTTATTAATTAAAAAGCAACATATTTTAGAGGTTAAAGGATGAACACAAACATGACCTAGAAGTTTTTGGGAATTTAGTTTGACTATTGAGCATATGTTGAAAAATTAGATAAAGCATCCCTTTTTTGGTACTATACTAATTTAATACATCATCCTGAAAGAATCTACTTATTTCAGATATGAAAGAAATCTACTAACCTGAATAAATACAGTAAAATATATAACTACTAGAGTAGCAGTGACAAACATTTTCTTCCTAGGAAAAAGAGACAGAGGAAGCAAAAATGCAAGTGAAAAACTTCCAGCTCCTCGGACACCACTGTAGAAAATTATGCACTGGTCCTTGATGGAGAAGGGGAAAGTCCGAAACTGGTTACTGACATAGAAGAGAGCAAATACGCCTAGAAAGGGGAAAATACGTATTAGAGCAAAGGGTCATGAATGAGTAGATATACAATGCTAGTGAACCCGAGTCGTGTGCATGTGCCTGCAAAACAATGCAACCTAATTTCATCACACCCATGATTGTCCATCCCAAACAGAATATCTTACAAAACTTCATTTCTTGGGGCCTGGGTGGCTCAGATGGTTAAGCATCTGCCTTCGGCTCAGGTCATGATCCCAGGGTCCTGGAATCGAGCCCCGCTTCAGGCTCCTGTCTCAGAGGGGAGCCTGCTTCTCCCTCTCCCTCTGCCTCTCCCCCTGCTCATGCTCTCTCTCTCTCTGTATCTCTATGTCTTAAATTAATAAATAAAATCTAAAAAAAAGACAAAACTTCATTTCTTGAGTAGTTGTGTGAACAGTAGTGCTTCAGGTTATTGGCCTCCCAGCTTGTGTGTGTGTGTGTGTTTAAAGTAATAAAATCTTGATACTTCTTGATATAAGACAGGGCATATATATTCTAATCTATACTCACAATTTTTGCTCTGTCTTTCAAAACTAGGTAAAGCAAGGGTATTACTTGGGGGATAGAAACATTTTTGTCACCTCATGTGCACAATGAGTAACCAAAGGAGGTGTATAATTTTAAACATAAGAGGACTCTTTTAGTGATTGTGGTCTCTGCTGGGTAAGCAAAATTTTTGTGGTTGGTTTGGCTCTTCCTGAGGTTCAATGCAAACAAGAAAGTTGGCAAGGGCTCAAAGGGGGGTTTCTTACTGTCAGTAAGTGGAAGGGGGAGGGTGGCAGAGCTTGTTCAAAACACAGAGGTGTGGGGCGCCTGGGTGGCTCAGTCGGTTAAGCGTCTGCCTTCGGCTCAGGTCATGATTCCAGGGTCCTGGGATCGAGCCCCGCATCGGGCTCCCTGCTCCGTGGGAAGCCTGCTTCTTCCTCTCCCACTCCCCCTGCTTGTGTTCCCTCTCTCGCTGTTTCTCTCTCTCTGTCAAATAAATAAATAAAATCTTAAAAAAAAAAAAACAACACACACACAGAGGTGTTTTCTACCACACTGACTTTGCATCCCTGAGTGGCCCACATGACCTAGCTTACCACCAATGCAGTGCTTCCTGGTGGGAAAGGCCCTTCACTAAAGCTCTGACTAAAGAGGAGGTTTTACTACAGAATAAAGCTCAGTATCCACGTGTGACTTCTAATCACACAGATTTCACAGCAAGCAACCTTTGGTGACAGGCACATGGATAATGTGAGAGATGGTAAAGTCTAAAATTTTTCATTTTGTTTTTTGTGTCCTGGCTCCTCCACATACCAGTCATGTGACCTTGGCTAAGGTTCTGATCTTTTCATGTACTCAGTCTCTCTGGAGGAGATAATGGTAGTATCTACCTCAGAAGGTAGATGGAAGGTTTACATAAATTTAATATCTATATATAACAGAAATCAGGGACTTTATGTTATAAGACTTCATGAGTGTGAACTACTATTAGCCAACGAGTCAGGCTGGGCATGAGAAGCGACTGGGAGGGAGAACTGGATTCTGACAGCTGGCTCTGTCCCTCACTGTGACATGGCCCAGTCAGCCATTCTCTCGATGACTCTCCCCTCAGCTAGAATATGAAGGAGTCAGGTTGGAATGTCACCAAGGGCCAACAATGTTGAGGTACCCACAATATTAATCCTCTCTTAGATGGTTTATACTCCTATTGGCTGGGCTGAAGTTCAGTAGTGTTACTTCCCTTGACATTAGAGTATTAGAACTGAAGGGAACCTAGGAAATTTGTTCATGCCTCCCATTTTGTGGTTGAGGAAGAAGATTTTGAGTATAGCTAGTTATTAGGAGTGCTAAGATTTGATTTGAAATTATAAATTTATATTATTAAATAACAGTTTCCTTAATTCTTTTCTCCCCAAGAAAGTGAACAGGCACATATATTCAGAGCCAGTTTTATGAATATTTTAATATTTCTGCATTCTTATTATTCTTCCCAGATTTAAAACCCACCCTAAATTAATTTAGAATTGATATGTTCAAGGTAAGTTCTCAGTCATTTCCCCTAATTTCTCTTTAATTGTAATTGGCTTGAAAACATTGATCAAAGTCAATTAAGCAAATGCTTCAAATCCTGGTCAAAATCATTTTAAAATAAAACTGCTTCTAATCAAAAGCCAGCACGTATAATGTAGTTCAGTACTTAATGTTCTTGCTAGCCCCAGAAACATAAATGTACAAGATAAATAAGCAGCCATTAGTCAAGACATCTCATTTTTTTTAAAACTTAGGCATATTTTATAGGGGTAAAGTCAGTTACATTATAGAGTTGCCTTTACTGATTAATAATAAGAACTTTTAAAAATAAAGATTTACTTCCTGGTCCTTGGTTTTCTATACATCAAACTCAACGCTCAACTAAAACCACCTGTATGTTGTTGTTTTTTTTAAGATTTTATTTATTTATTTGACAGAGAGAGACACAGCGAGCGAGGGAACACAAGCAGGGGGAGTGGGAGAGGGAGAAGCAGGCTTCCCGCGGAGCAGGGAGCCCGATGTGGGACTCGATCCCAGGACCCTGGGATCATGACCTGAGCCGAAGGCAGACGCTTAACGACTGAGCCACCCAGGCGCCCCTGAAACCACCTGTATGTTTTAAGGGAATGTTTTCTAACAGTGCCTGCCTTACATAGACTACACTTAGTGAGATCTCACTTTTCCTGTAATAAAAGTGTAAATGCTCACAGTGTATAATCTGTATCTGATTTAAGGTGCAAGAAGGTAAAAATTGACAAAGAAGTGAAGAGTAAGGGATAAATTTACTGAGTTATATTTACATGTGTAAATGTGAAAGTTCTCTCTTCAAATAAAAAAGAAAAACAAACTCCTTGCACCAGCCTTGCTTCAGTGCACAACCTTATCAGCCTCTAATTGCTCCGAACTGAGTGAGGGAGCACACAGACAACATTCCTAGTCACTACAAGGTGCCTATACTCCCCTAACTAGTAAAACCAGTTAGTGTCATTTCACTACTTAGGCTATTACATTGCAGAAAGGGATAAGAAAAATTTAAAAAAGCAACAGGCAGGAGCCTCTTTGGGTCCTGCTGTCTCTTACTAATGGCTCTCCAGATCTGGCAGAAGACCAGGGTGAAACACACGAAGGCCCAGTTCCACTCATGGTTCTTCCCGACGGTGGACACGCCCATGAAGATGAAGATCAGGGTCTCACTGACGCTGCTCAGCATCTTCATGAAATACTTGATGGTCGTGTAGGATGTCTGGGACACATTTTCCTCTACATACTTTTTCATTGTTACCGCACAGGCCGTGATTCTGCAGAAGGAACGGAGTCTCAGGAGAAGCCATGAGATTTTGCCCCTCCCTGAAAAACTCTGTACTGGAGATGCCACAGATATATAGGTCCTGTTTCTAACCAGAGAGAACATCCTCTCCATTCCCCTTTCCTTTTCCCCACAGGCTTTCTTTTTTCCTCTTCTCCCTCCCCAAAGGGTTTGCTCAAGTTGAGTGTGTTGGGAAAGGTGGGCATGGCATGGCTCTCTCAAAAGAAAATAGTATCAACCATACACAAACCCAAAGCGGAACTGTTTCTGGAAAGAATAAGCCAGCGAGGCTCTCATTTCCACCATCTGAGCAACGTTTCTTACAACAATTTAATGAGATATTTTTCATTTAAAATGTTTTTGTTCTAGAGACACTAGGAAGTCTCGGGGAGGGGGGCAGTTGAGGGCAGGGGAAGAGAAAAAATTGCCTTGTCTAAGTAATTCAGATCACTTTTCAGGTGGGACAATAATGAGTATCTAGATTTTATACTATTATATTTAATTAAAATAGGTATTTCTATACAGTAAAATTAAATATTTCTGCCTGAGTAGCTGGGTATGAGGATAATACCATAGAGAAAACAACATAGCAAGCCAAGTTAAGAAGCCTCATTCCAAAATATAAGGAAGGATAAATATTTACAAATATTTGCATTAGGAAAAAAAATCTGGACTTCTGGTCTTATCCCATCTACCTAGTTTCATTCCACCCTGGTGTGATGTGATTTAAGGGAAATAGAAGAAGGCAGAGCTCAGGAATGAGAGTCCTTCACGGCATACTGCCCTTTCCCTTTAAAATAATGAATTTTTCAAGGGGAAAAAAAAAAGCTACTGAAATGAGACTTCAACCTTGAACTTCTAGTTCTTCTCTGCATCAGGTCTTCTGAGCCTTTTAAATTGACCTTATAATTGCTCTGCTCTGCTAAGGCCGTTCAGGAGAAGAGCAGATTCAAAGGCTGGGGAGAACATTTGTTTGGCAAAAGCCCCGAATTGGATTTTACAAAATTTAAAAAACCTGAATCCAGCAACACCCTTGCAGATTAGTGTCAGAAGTTCTGCCTTTTGCAGATGCTGGTCCACACCATGTGGTCCTGCATTCTCTTGTATTGCTATGAGATTTGGTCCTTGGTTTGTACTCACGCCAGGATGCCGGAGAGGTAGAGTGTCTCCGCAGCTAAGTAAGACAGATAACTGAACATGAAGACGATGAGTGGTTCGATTGCAGAGATATTCTGACTGAAACGTGTGATAAACGCAGAAATGAACCCAAAAATGACGCCGAAAAATACTCCCCCAACCCCCACAACAATGAATCGGGCACATCCAGCCAAAATGTCGACAGGCTCTATGTCTTCAAATTTATGCATCTTTGTGAAGGCAATTAATACATTGTATAAGACCTAGACAAAAAGAAAATGAAAGAAAAGAAACATGAATTCGAAATGAGAAATATTTGACACACAGATTCTTAACTTTGTGTCTAGTTGAGTAATACACAACAGTGAATTACACGACCATAAATATTAATATGGCTAACACCTAACTTTAAAATTATTCCAAATAATTTACTCTTATTCGTTTACACCGGGTAAGAGTCTAATACAGCTTTCAGTCACTGAGCACCCACTCTGCGCCAGTCTCTTTGCGAAGCTGTGTCAGTTATCAACTTAATTTCCTCCCAGCTCCGAACGTACCTTCCAATACGGGCTCTATAATAAACAATGGAATGCCTTCGGCAGAATTTTTCTCCTTCAAGGGAGCCGCATGTTACAGCTCTCTCGGCAGAGGGCGCTGAAGGGACATTGCAGGTGAAAGGGTCTTTCCAGCAACTTCCGGTGGGAGGGGCAAGAGTCAGACAGGTGATTGGGAGGACTTCCGATAGGTCCTTTGGGGGGTGGGGGGGAGGTGCACAGGCGCTGGAGGCAGTTGGTCTGTAACCTACAGCTTTGACGGGAGATAACTTGTCCGTGGACCTCCTGACATGGAAAAAAGAAACCCTGGCATAGCCCTCATGCAGCACGCCTGTCATCAGGGGTCCCCCTGAGCAGCCTTCTGTGTGTAAATCCTCTCTTCTCCCCTGTCCATGCAGCCTGCTCCTCGGAAGGCCCTGTGCCCCTTCCTAAGCCCAGGCTTCCACTGCACGCCTGGTGCCACCAACTACTGATGCCCTTTCCCTGCCTGCCTTCCTGAGGGTGGCCTGTTGTTTGCCGAGCAGCTCCAGACCAGCTCCTCTGGCTAAACCACACAGCTTCTCTGCTGCCCAGTGGTCCATCCACACCTCCAGGGAGATCTGAACCCCTTTCAAGTTTGTCCTTTAAGGGGGGGATCCATCCCTCAGCCTTAGGGTACCAGGAAGAGTTCTCATGTCTTACAGCTAGTCCTTTGTTATAGTTGATTAATTTGATATTAAATTTCTCTCTTTGATCTGTGTGGTTTCTCTCTCTCAGTTGGACCCCACCTGCTACACTTTGCATATATGTCATCTCATTGAATCCTCCAAACCACTCGAGCCCATGTGATACACACTCCCAATTTTCCTGCTATTTCTCTACTTATTTCAACATGTATAAGAAATTACGGTGGGGGCATCTGGGTGGCTCAGTTAAACATCCGACTCTTGATTTTGGCCCAGGTCATGAACTCAGGGTTCATGGAGTCTGCTTGTCCCTCTCCCTCTCCTCCTTCCCCCACTTGCGCACTCTCTCTCTCCCTCTCTCAAATAAAGAAATAAAATCTTTAAAAAAAAAAAGAAATTACAGTGATCTAGGGATCACTACTTGATGTGCTTCTCAGCCCAGAACTGAGACCGAACTTCTGAAAATTGGCAGCTGACGCACAGTTAAGGAGACACACAAAACAGGTAAAGTAAGGTTTCTGAGGAAATTGAAGACCTTTGAGGATATCAGGCCCTGAAGAGTCCTGATAAACCACAGCATATACCTATTGGCCTTTGTTTGCCTATACTAGGAAAAATGGGAAAAAAAATCAGAACAGGAGCAGAAGCTAAAACTCAAGGAAATAAGGTCAATGATTATCTGCTGTATGTGGAAGCACAGGAGTGGATGGACCCTCCAGAATAGTTAGGTCTCTACCCCCATTCATTTCTCCCGCTCACACTCTGCTCTCACCTTACTTCTGGAATGATCCCCCACTCTTCGACCTGCAAGACTTGCCCAGGCCTGAGACTCCTGTGTGACTTTAACTTCTCCATCCCGTTTGTCTTTCCTTACTGAGACACTCACCTGTGCTCTTCAGGGTGCCCTGACAGCATTTGGATACCGGCTTTGGCTTCACCCGTGGGGCTTACCAGACGTACTGGCTGCTTTGTGTACACACCGACCCCTTGACCGTGGTCTTCAATCTGCCATTCCTTCCCCAGCCCTTTTCCCTGTCCTGCCCCCTCCAGATCTGCTCTGTGAAGGGCCTCTGCTGACCCCCAGTGACATCATCTTCATGATTAAAGTTTGTTGTTCTCTGATAGAAATGGTCAATGAAGAAGCCTAGGCTGGCTTCTTGTTACGATCACAATCATAAACCATCAAGGTACATTTAAAGCAAAGCCCCACTCCATCTCATTTGCATTCTTTTCCTAAGGAGCGCCTCACATTTGTTTGAGTGAGGTTGTTCTCCAGTAGCAGAAATAGAACAAGCAGCTGGTCTGTGGCAATGAGTGTCTCTGTTTATGGATGCCCTAGAGTCACTGTATAAACTGTTAATACGCTTTGCTATCCATTTCTGTGTGGAGATCAAAAATTTTATCCAGGGACACTGGGTGGCTCAGTTGGTTAAGCATCTGCCTTTGGCTCAGGTCATGATCCCAGGGTCCTGGGATCGAGCCCCGCATCGGGCTCCCTGCTCAGCGGGGAGCCTGCTTCTTCCTCTACCTGCTGCTCCCCCTGCTTGTGCTCTCTCTCTCTCACTCTCTCATTCTCTGACAAATAAATAAATAAAATATTTAAAAAAGAAAAGAAAATATATTTTTCAAAAAAAAAATCTTATCCAGCTCTACACAAGGGTATATGTCAATTATATCTCAATAAAGCTGGAAGGAGAAAGAAAAAAAGTTAGGCAATATGGGATTTGCAACAGGTTTTAAATTTCAATTGGTATATCTGAAAACATTTTCAGCAGAATTTTTTTTTAATTTTATTTATTTGAGAGAGAGCGTGAGAGAGAGAGCAACCAACTGCAACCAACACTTAAATACTGTTCTTGGTTCTGGCCCCCCTTCCATGGTCTCCCACACCAAGCAGGGTGCACCTAATCTGGCCCCATGTAGAGAATTTCTTTCTTACAATGATACTGCAGATCTTTCTCCCTGCCTCCTTCTCTTGGAAATCCATTCTGTTTTTTCTTAATCTGGTTTGGTTCCTTAACTGCCAAATATAGCTGCTCATTGGGAAAATGCTCTTGTCTGGCCTCACTTTTCCCTACAGAGCCTCTGGACTTGAACTTCCTTTCTGAATCACAGACTTGTATATTACCTTCTTTAGGATAGGGTTTGGGGCACCTGGGTGGCTCAGTCGGTTAAGCAGCCAACTCTTGATTTGGGCTCAGGTCATGATCTCAGGGTCACAAGATCCCACCCCAAGTCAGGCTCCACTTCCACTTTGGCGCTGGGCATGGAGCCTGCTTAAGATTCTCTCTCTCTCTCCCCACCTCTGCCCCTCCATCCCACTGCACACATGTGCTCTCTCTCTCTCAAAAAAGATATTAGGGTTTTGCTACAAGATATTGCAAGAGTGGTGACTTTTCACATTTAGTCTTTGTATACCAACTTACGTAAAAGGAAAGTTAAACAGAAAAACTTCAATTCAAAAGATAACAATAGGTGGGGGAAAAAAACCCACAAATGTTTCTGTTTTCCTGGGAATTTGTTAGTTAAAAGCTGAAAGTCACTTGTTGTTTTTGGGTTTCCCTAAGAATGGGTCTTAAAATATGATGTTACCTCTGTGTATAAGGACTGCTCATGCATTCACAGTATGCCATTTTACAGCCTCCAATTTTGTTCCATTTAATTTTCCCTTAAAGATCCTTTTGGACTTTTTTTTTTTTTTTGACTCTTTTATATTGCCATGATGTTTGGAAATGACAATGTGTTGTGTGGTTTCCTGTTCCTGCATGACCCTCACAGCTGTGAGCACTTACGTTTAAATGGAAACTTCAGTCTCTGCATCCTCTAGCCTTAGGAACGATAATACCTTTAGTAAAGAGTATTTCAAGAAAGAAAAAAATCTTATCCAGTACAGAATGGCTTTGGCTTTGGAATATGAGTTGGCAGAAAGGTCAGTCCTTAAAGTAGCTTGGTTGTCACCACTCCTCATGTAAGAAACTATATCACTAATGGACCATGTTGGATGGGGAGAGGAGACACAAGGAGGGCGTCCAGTAGCCACTCTGCTCACAGGTCCAATGCACCTCCCCTCCCCAGTGCAGCTTTGTCACATTGCCCTCTGTATGTTTCTTAGAGCTGCTGTAACAAAATACCCCAAACTTGGATGGCTTAAATCAACAGAAATTTATTCTCTCTCACTGTCCTGAAGCCTACAAGTCCACAATCAAGGTGCTGGGAGGACCACACTCCATTGAAGTCTCTAGGAGAGGACAGTTCTTTGTTTCTTCTTGGTTTCTGGTGGTTGTTGGCAAGCCTTGGTGTCCCTTGACTTGTGGACATACCACTGTGGTCTCTGCCGTTTTCTACATATGCCCTTCCCTCTGTGTCCCCTCCTCCATGTCTTCACATTGCCTTCTTACAAGGACACTAGTCATTGGACTAGGACCCACATCAATCCAGTGTGAGCTCATCCTAACTAATTGTATCTGCAAAGAACTATTTCCAAATAAGATTACATCCTGAGGTTCTGGGTGGACATGAGTTTTGTGGGGAAAATATTCTATCCAGTACAGCTCCTATAACCAAAATGACCTTACAATAAATTAACTTGTATTATAGACTAGCAGATTTTCATTGTACATCTCAGGCTACAACTTGATTTTGAATTTCATAAAGTCCTAAACCATGGCTTCCTCCAGATGGATCCATTTTATTTCTTTAGAGAGCCTAAGACACATGTTTTCTGTGTCTGGATTAGTTCTTATTTTTTAATGTGACTAACAGCCAGTAACCCACAAGCTTAGTTAGATGAGGGATATATACAGAAGACTGTAAACAGACTCCCTTCCTCTCTTAAAGAGATGTTTCTAGTGCATCATCTGGGAGAAGGAGAAGAAGCTGGGGAAGGTGAATAAGAAGCAAAAAAGGGTGCCTGGGTGGTTGGGTCGGTTAAGCAGTGGACTCTTGATTTCAACTCATGTCATGATCTCAGTGTCCCCTCAGATGGAGCCCTGCAGTGAGCTCTCCGCTCAGCGGGGGATCTGCTTCTCCCTCTCCCTCTGACAC